GGAGCCAGGGTAAGATGGGAAAAGAGCACAGCGAAGATCCTAAGTTGGGCCTTATGCTTTCTACGCCGTATTTTGGTTTCCAATAAGGCAGACATGGTACATTTTGCTCAATTTTCCACTCCTAATGACGTTTACAATGTTGTGGAGAAGTGGCTTTCATTCCTCTGAATGGATTTTGGAGCTGGAATTCATTTAATTAAGTATTGCTCCTTTCCCAACCTGACTTGGACCTGCACCCCCTGCTCCCGTGTGGCCCCAGGTCTGGCCAAGGCCTGGGAGTAAGCTCTGGTCCCCTTCATCTGAACCATTCCCCAGAGGGCTCAGCGCCTGGGCCTGCAGGCCACCAAGGAGGCCGTCCGACTAGAGGAAGGACATCTGGGAGAAACTTAGGGGTTTCAAGGCCATCTGTGAGGGCCTGGGAGAGAGAGGGATGAGAGAAAGTGACAGAGGCAAAGAAAGGGACAGGAGAATAGAGACAGAGACACAAAACTTAATGATTATATTGGATTTACACTCAAAAAAGGGGAGATGGCCTCAAAAGTTTTGGCTATGAATATAGAGCCAAAATAGTAAAGAAAAGCCATTAATAAAAGCTCTTTACAAGGAACCTCTTGGCCTTGTTATAAATTGAAATAGGAGCTTTCAGGAAAATGGGGTTTCAGAAACTAGCATTTAGGGTCCGACCCATAGCAAATCTCAGTGGGATTTTTATGCCTGGTGGCCACTGTCTGAATAAGCGAGGCTTTGCTTGTTGGGAGCTCTCCTGAGTTTATGGCTTGCCTGCCCTCTGTTCCCCTACTCGCCACAACTTAATGGGGTGAGCACTCTGACAAAGTCTCTTCGTCATTTTTCTCCCTGCCTCTCCCCCAAAGCCCCCTGCTTGGCGGAAGAATGACTGCTGGTGCTGAATCGTATTCTGACCAGCCTGGCTGGCTTTGCTACAGGGCCACCATCAATCTTGCCCCTAACAGGACATTTGTTTATGACTGGGTGGGAAGGGCTAATGGCTTCATGAACCAATTCTAAAATGAGCCGAGAGGAGTCTAAAGAGAAGGCCCTGTGACAACAGGCAGGATCCAGGGGTGGCAACTGGACTCAGAAGCAAATGAGACCCTTCCCCCAGGAACTCCAAAATGTGGCATGTAGGTAGAAATTATCATTCCAACCAGCTTTGCTTCAGGTGCTACTAATAGCCAGGGAGAATGCTGGTATCCAGGGCCTGGATCCACCGTGGATGCGTCCTGTCCCTCCTGGGTAGCCTGGCCAGGCACCCTGAACCAACAGAGGGTTCAGGGCCTCTGTGGAGTTTTGCACCATTAAGAACAAAACAAATGGTCCTCCACCTTAAAAACTGAGACCCCTAGGGAACTGGGTGGGAGAGAAAAGGTTTTATGTCCCTTCTTCGCCTATCAAAGTTCAAGAGATCCTAGTAGGGCTATGAGGCACTCTTGTTTCCTGACCCTTGTTTCTGACCCCACAGGAAACAGCCAAGAGCTTATGGGCCACCAGCACAATCAATTCTTAGTCCTCTGCAAACATCAATTATTAATGACAAACTGTGTGGAATGATAAATCATAAAACGCATGCTTGTTTGCATGCAGTCTGGTGAAAAAAGATCTGCTAACTACACAATCCTGAAAACAGCATGGATTCCTACCAGACGTGCAATACACCAAATGCAAGTTTTCAGTGGCATGTAATACGCTGGCATTTACTTGCTCATGGCATAAATTGGTAAGAAAATTAATGTGCCCACTGCTACTTAAAGAAGAAAATGCTATCCTAAAGTTTTCTACAGAGGCTAATTTCAAAATTAGCCAGATCCCCACTGCTGGGTCCTACCCGGTGTTGCAAGCTAATTTAGTTAAAATATCAAGGAGCTTTCTTAGAATATTTTACAGAAAAAATACCTTTACTGCTGAAAAGTACAAATCAAATGTGTAAACCACCAAAAAACAAGTAGTTCTCCCCGATTAAATAAGGTTGGCAGGATTGATTTTTCTTAAATTGAATATAAGAATCCAAATGTAAATATATTGATAGTAGAAGACATTACATATGTGGTTTTAAAAATCAGAATAATGAGAACTTCTGACCTTCCATTCAAACAGCTTCTAAACTACTCTGTAGGGAACTTGTGTAGAAATAACTACTTTTGCTATATACATTTAATACAAACACCGTCCTCGACACATATGTCTTCCATGACCAATTTTCAAATGTTGAAATCGAAGAGGGCGAAAATGATTGCTAAGAAACCTTCCCCTGGCAAGCACGTAAACACTGTCAGGAACTTCGGCGAAGGGCTCTTCGCCGGCCGCAGAAGCCCGAGCACTGCCCTTATACCCGGTTCCTTCTTCAGCCACAGGGACTCGGGACGCAGGAAGGAGGAGTAAGCGGCGCCCACAACCCACTCTGCATCCAGACGACACCAGGGATCGCTCACCCAACTTGCGCTCCTTCAGGGCTCCAGGGCTGCCCCCTCCCCAAACGCCCGCCTCTCTATCCCGCGGCCCACTACTCGGAGCCGCCCAGTCGAGCTCTCAAGGGCCAGGCTGGGCCTAGGCCAGGGGCTGGATGCAGCTTCGACGTCCTGGAGCCACTGATCCTAGGTCCGAGGAGACGCAGAAGGTCGCGGGCACGTGGATCCCGGACATTCGGAACCCGCTGCCCGCCTGCACGCCTCTCGTGTTCTTTAGGCCGAGCGCCATACGCCCTGGCCACTGCCAAGTGACTTGTGGCCTCTGTCTACCAACCTCAAACGCCGCGGGGACGCAGCTCTGCCAGGGAGGGCTCCAAGAGCCCCAACGCTAGACTGGGCAGGTCGGCGCGGCCAGGCCGAGGGGCGCGGGCTGAGGGTCCTCCTGAAAACCTGTGGCTGCCCCTGGCCCGGGGCGCGCTGTCACCCGGGAGCAATGGAATGCCTGTGACCTTTCCACCCTGGCTGAGCTCCTAAACTTACGTGTGTCTTCAGAACAAAAGTCGACGAGGGAGAGTGTAAACGGGAAGCGCTGTGGTCCAGGAGGCTCGAGGCTGCGAGTGGAGCCCGCTGCCTTCCCGCGGCTTTCCCGGCCCCGGCGGCGAGGACTCTCGTCCCCTCCGTGCACACCCCTCCCTTTGCCCCCTTCCCATCTGCGCGGTCTTCTCGGCATCCACGCCCTAACCCATACACCTAACCAAGGTCTCCTTGGACTCTATTTTCTCCTCAAACAACTGATTTCGGGAGGAGGCAGAGAGAAGCTGGGGAGGGAGGCGTGGCGGGGATGAGGGAAAAGACGTGGAGGGAGGAAGGAGCTCCAAACACAAACAAGCCAGGCCCCAGCCGCGGAGGGTAATTACAACTAATTAGTTGAAGAGCATGCAGTCCCGGAGTGGCGTCGGGAGGCCGGCGTCAGGCCGGGCGCGACTCGGCATGGCCGGAGACTCGAGAAACGCCCCCCGGGAAAGCCCGCGGTGGGACGCGGGTCTCTACTCGCCACCCCCCACCCCGTTCCAAAAAGTTGAACCATTAAGACAGGGAACCATCTTCGGCTGCTTGAGCTGCCTGGCCTGGTGGTCGGTCACCAGGTCCGAAAGGCCGAGGCCGTTTGGTCACCTGTTGCCGCTTTCCTTCCAGGCCTAGACAACCCAGCTCCGGCCATCAGACCCTTTGTCCGCAAATCCCGGCTCCACGCTCGGCTCGCAAAAGTGGACAAACGCAGAAACTCTATGAGCTTTGTCATTGGATTCTTTCCCTTCACCCACCCAAACGGGGTGATCTGAGGAAGCTCTCGGTAGTCCCTGGACCTAGGGCTGCGACAGACGCGCAGAGGCTCACAAGTCCTAGCCGTTCTGACCTGAGGAGACACCGGCGCCCTGCGCTGCTGCAATCTTCCCTCGCTATTACGTTACGACTCTGAGCAAAGAAGACTCGAGCAAATCAAAGGCCACGTAAAGCAGTTTTGGACTGAAATTAGAGTGTATTTATTTGCAGCAATCCTTTAACAATGATCAAATTTTGACAACAAGCAACAGCAATTACTGCTAAGTGTTGCCTCTAGATAGGAGCGGCAGATAGTAGGAAACTGTATTATCTCGAAAACAAACTGAAAGGCCCTGAACGACTGTAATCAAATTGCCATCTCCTCAAAGTCTGATTGACAGGGCTGATCACCCTAAGATAATGAATTTATTACATTTCCTGGGTTATTTACAAAGGGGGAGGGCCAATCCGATTGCCCCCTAAGTTTAACTGTAAATTAGCAAGAAAAATTGGATTGAAAAGAAACCACCCTAGACTAAAATGTTCTGCTCTTCTCTCCTTTCTGTTATTGCTTTAAATCTTTTTCAAAAAATAATTGTTCTACAAACATATCTTCTATAATAGTATCCCAAAGATTAAATTTCCCTTTCCAACCCACGGTATTTTTAAAATATTAATCCTTCTACATAACACATTGAAGATTGTAAATGTGGATGAGTTATATACATACATTAAAAAAATGGTTTATTTTTCCTCTTATAAAGGAGTAAAAACAATAGGAAAAAAATCTATCCAGCATTTGGATCACAGGTATAATACACATTGCAATTGTTTATGGGCTACACAAGCCAAATATCCCTCTGTGTATATTTGGAGACACATTCACATTTCTCTACGCACAGGTATCACTGTGTTAAAGACTGCTGCTGGTTCATGGGCTTCAATTTCCAAATCATGTTCTGTCATTACTGAGAAAATGTATTTGTGTATATGCCAACTCAGATCTGCTTAGGAAAATATTTTTACTAGCCACAAAGCAAGCTGACTATATAGCACATTTTGCAGAAGATGCTGCAGAAAAAAAAAAAATCTAAACAAAAAGGGACTTTTATGTGAAACTTGTCAGAGAATAGTCAGAGGGTTTCTCCATTTTTCAGAGATTTAGAAAGAGAATAGGTGGTTTCTAAGTGTTTTAATCTCTGAAATCTTTTTTTCTGATAATAATTAAGGCTGTATTAAAGTATCCAGACATATAGGTCTCATTCAAAATGAATGGTAATTTATTAATAAACAAACAATGAATATGTTCAACAAAAAGAAAGAAAAAGATGATAGAATAAGATTAATACAGTTTCCCTTTTTATAATGAAAAAAAAAAACACAATTTAAGTTTCAGGCAATTTAACGTCAGGTTTTGGAAACACTTTCTGGCGTTTGGTCCACGACATCCAACTACAAATTAAAAATAAATTACTATGTTGAAATTTACATTTTAAAACAAGTCCATGAATAAAAGAAAGCGATTTTCATATACCGGGATTTTCCCCTCCTTTCAACATAGGATAAAATAATATCTTACAGGTGAGACGTGACGGAAGGAAAAGAGCAAGGGAATGGGGGAAAGGATGAAAAGGAAAGCGTGCTCTCTGAAAAGCAAGAAGAAACTTACGTGTTATCTGCAGTAACATTGTCCTTTAATAAACCATGATTTTGCTGTCTCTGTGTAAAATGGTTTACGGTTTTGTTTATTTAGATAAGGCAAAGTGGAGGTGGCTTTGAATTAATCTTTTAAGAAAATAGTTTTCTTTGTGCTGGTGAGTTGAACTTTTGGAGGGATTCTGTTTGCTGGTTTGGTGAATGTTTTTCAAGATGTTTTAAATTGGATTTTTTTGGTTTCGATTTTGCATTGATGTTTCTTTTGGTTGTTCCTGCTTTGGGGTTCGATTCAGTTCGGTTTTGAGGCGGGCAGGGGTGTCAAAACTTGCTACAGTCATAGACGAAAGCCCCGGACGTGCGGTACAGAGACTGGCTGGAAGGGAAGGCCATCTGACAGCTACTATTCCCGTTCACCGGAGAGTTGTTCAAACCGATCCTCTGCGACTCGAACATCTCTCGCACCGAATGGAAGTTCTGCTGCTGGCTCGGGTAGCCCGCCGCCGCCGCCGCCGCCGCCGCGCTAGCCAGGTGGCCAAGGTCTCCACCAGCCTGGTTCAGGTACCACGAGGTGAGGCGGCCTTGGTGGGCCGCAGGGTGATGGCCGGACTCCTGGCCGCCGCCGGTGCCGCCGTGACTCAGGGAGGAAGAGCTGCTGCTGGTGACTGGGGGCAGAGAGTAGTCGGGTAGTGGGTCTTCCACGGCTGAGCCGCCGGCACCTCCAGGAGCGCCCTGCAAGTGGCCGCCGCGTTCCCCGGCCGCGTACAAGCTCATGGCCTGCAGGTTGCAGTGGTAGGTCCCGGAGCCCCCTGCGCTGCTGCCCCCGCCGCCGCCGCCGCCCCCGCCCGAGCTGCCCGCACTGGAGCTCTGGCTGCAGGGGGAGCTGTAGAGGGAGCTCTGACCGGGCGAGTAGGCACCGAGCGCCAGCGGGGGTGCGATGCCCGCGCGCGAGGACCCGGTTCCCGAGGCCAGAAGGCCCGAGCCCAGCTCCGCGGCTGCGCCTTGCGGCGACCCCCGCAGCGACGTCATGATGTTGTCCACGCTGAAGCCCTGGCTGTGGTGCTGCGGCGGTGGCGCAGGCTGAGGAGGGGGCGGCGGCGGCGGCGCGGGTTCCGCGCCGTCCAGGCTTAGCGGCCGCGCGGACGGCAAGCTACCGGGCGGGCTGCTACCGCTCGACAGGCTGCTGCTGCTGCTGTCGGGGCTTTCGATTTTGGGCACCGCGGCGGCGCTACCGCTGCCCAGGGCGGCGGCCGGGGACAGGGGTTGGGGCGGCGAGGGGCACGTACCGTTCTCGGTTTTGATGTCCTGGATGCGCACGGGTGGCGGCTGCGGTCCGGGCGCGGCGCCGTCGGTCTGCTCAGGCGGCGCGGGCGGAGGCTGGCGGCCAGGCGGCGGCGGTGGCTCCTTGAGGTGCAGCCGGTCCTTCTCCTCCTTGTCCTTCACGGCGTCCTTCTTTTTGAAGCGCCGCCGCCGCCGTAGGAAGCTGCCATTCTCGAACATGTTGTACGAGTCCGGGTCCAGCGTCCAGTAGCTGCCCTTGCCCGGTTTCTTGTCGTCGCGGGGCACCTTGACGAAGCACTCGTTGAGCGACAGGTTGTGGCGGATGCTGTTCTGCCAGCCCTGCTTATTGTCCCGGTAGAAGGGGAAGCGGTCCATGATGAACTGGTAGATGCCATTGAGGGTAATCTTCTTATCCGGGGCATTCTGGATGGCCATGGTGATGAGCGCGATGTAGCTGTAGGGCGGCTTCACCATGTCCTTGGGCTGCGGCTGCGGTGTGTAGGGCCCGTAGGCGCGGGCCATGCCGCCCGGGTACTGCTCGGCGTGCGCTGGGTGCGAGTACACGCTCATGGGGGCCGGCATGGCGGTGTAGCCGCCCCCGGCCGCGGCCGCCGCCGCGCGGTAGTAGCTCTGCTCGCCACCGAGATAGGGCACCACTCCCAGGGAGTTGGGG